TGGAGACAAGCGTGTATGTCTACTCAAAACATAGAAGAAAGGAGGGGGGGGGGGGAAAAGAGACATGAACTTTTTTGATGATACAATACTGTTAAAGAAGGACAGTTAAAAGAGTGCGCTCAATGCTCAGCCTGCCCTCAAAACGTGGGGGCAGCAATTCGGGGTGGCTCTACATATAAACTATCCTGAGGTCCTCAGATACGCAAAGACGCTCGTTTTTTCGAATCCACTGGATTACTGTCAAAATAATATCAGAAAGAGTGAGTATATAACGAGTTGGAAACAACTATATATATATATATATTTATATATATATTCTTTTTAAAAGTTACACAAGACTTTTTTTTCAAAGGAGAAAAAAAAGCAATTTATTTATTTTTTCAATTTCAAAACATGTGCTATTCTCAGGAAATTGTCCTAGATTTTTATACCTTGCCTTGCCTCTTCCTCAAGCAAGTCCGTACGTAAGGCTAAATACCTCTCTTCGTCACAGAGAGCTTCGATTCGGGCTTCCTCTTCGGACAATTGGTAATCTCTGTTCCAGGTGGAATATTCGGCGTCGTACTCGGAAAGGTCGTGCAAGTGGCCACGCCCATCGTATCTGCAACAGGAAGAGGAGGGTCAGCCAAGGGACTTCGGGCTCAGCTTCCTGCCAAATCTATCGATACTTACCACCTATAAAAGAACCATCTACTGAATTAAATGAGGGAACCCATTAATCTGACTCAACGCTCCTGACCCACTTCCGTTAACAAGCGCAAAAAAACAAGCCCCTTTGGGAGTTACTGATTATAATTAAAAGCGGACTATCTAAAAAGAGGAAACAGCTGCTATGCGTCCTTACCGTTTGTGGTTCAACCACTTAATGACCCTGGCCAACATATGTAACAGCTATGTAACAAGAGGGAATTTATTTATTTATTTTCCTGCAAAGGCAAATTACTTACATTTACACAAACCCAAGTACATAAATACCTATCCGTAAGAACCAAACGGTGGGCAATTCCTCGCGTCTTTCTGCTAGTCTTGCATTCTCAGAAGAAATCTTCACCAAAGAAACCTGGATCCATTGGAGGTAAAATCATGGCTAGGCACGGCCCCTAGCTATGCGGCTGAGGAAAGAAGTCCTGGGTTATGTGATAGAGAGACACACATACATAGGAACAGCAACATTGGTGCAATTTAAGGAGGTTCTTGGCAGGAAACACTCGCTGATCCCCTGAACTACATATCCATCATTTTACGTTGGGGTGTTTCTTTCATTTGGTCACTTTTTAAAAAAAAATTGTCTGTGTTTGTAAGCCACTTAAGTATTTCTTTGAGCTGATAATGTTTTAATTTTTTTTTGCATAATCTGTGGATTAGGCTGAGACTTAAACTATTTTCTTTGTGGCTGGGAAAATATGAGCAGAAGGGAGCAACCGAGTCCATTCCACAAGAGATACGTGGAATATGAAGTTTGGTTAAAAGGCTTGTTAGATGAAAACTAATGTAAGTGGGAGACTTTATTTTTTAAAAAGAAAGAGACTTGTGAATAAAAAGGCAACTTTCTTCTAAGATGTAATCGTCTCAATGCCATTATTGCTTCCTCAAAAACAAACAATTCCAGAGAGAGCAAGGTAAAAAAAAAAAACCTGCTCTGAAAGATCATCAATCAATAATTTAGAGCCAGTTTTCTATAATGACTAAATCTATCAAACCTCCTTAATTTACAAATGTAAAATAATAAAAGATCATGAGCATATGCATAGCTTGCTCCTACCATTTTTACAGTTTTCAGCTAACTTGCCCTATCAGAAACTGTGAAAGAGCATTGGCTGATACTTGCTATTGCTTTGACTGATGATGACCATGAAGCTGGATTATCAAACCCATGTTTAATTTACATTTTAATTTGATTCTGGGAAGTCACAAAATATCGCCACATAGCCTCATACAAAACATAGGCCATGGCGTTACCAACAGTAAGTTTTTGTTCTGAATGTTTAAAGAAAATCCATTTTTAAGGTTTCACCAAAAATCGTCGTTAATGAGTTTTTTATCGTTCCCGGTAGGGCTTGATTTGGGAATTGGGACCTTACAAAGATTGTGTAAAGCAAAAATAAAAATGGAAGAAGCAAGCTCTTACAATATGCCACACACTCTTTTCAAACCAAAGCCTTCAGACTCTCTTTGCTTTACACTAGGGGAATTGTGCTAACAACAATGCCATTTCAATCCCTTTGGCTATCCATTTTTTCACTAAAATGCCAATAGAAATGCTTTGATCTTCCAAAACAATGAGATTACCACCAGACAAAGAATCCACCTGTCAGTTTTAGCTTTAAATAGCAGGAGTCCCCAAGCGTAACAGCATTACAGGAACCATTATCTAAATTCTGTACCATTTTGTGGTAATAAAACGAGTTTCCATGAAGCTACAAATACTATTAAACTAAACAGCTGGAACATCTATCTACAAATCAATGAAAACCAAGGTTTTTTTGCCAGAAGCCGTACAAGTGTAGCCAATACATGGAACAACTTCCATCACGCTAAACGTGGCATCACTGCCCTGAAGTGAATTAGAATAGTTGGAATTCGGAAACCAAGGTTCTACTTTGTCAAACGTGAAATCCCCTGGAGGATTTTAAGAGTCTAGTCAAAAAACCTCAGATTAACCTTCTCTACAGCACTATTACAAAGATTGCTATTATGCTGCTCCGAAGAGGGGGGGGGGGGAAACCCGCAACAAAACAAAGATTCATCAATGAATTGTAAAAGGGAAGGATGAGAATGCAAGAATTCAACCTGTACAGGCCATTAACTTTACATCACTTATTGGAAACTCAGGGAGAAAAAAAAAATAGCCTGGGCCAAAAAGTCATACTGCATAACAGATCATGGGGTTAACTTTACCGCCCTAGAGCGTACATTTTTGCAGAGATGCAAATAGTTTTTCTTTCATTTGTAACAGGAGTCATTAAAGACTTTGGTTTGAAAAGAGGGTACTGCAAGCCCAGTGTATATAGGATCCACTCCTTCAAGGTGGAGGGAATGTAAACAACACAGCAATCCTCTGCCAAGGAGGAAGAGAACATTGGAGAGGTGAGGAAGGGACATCTAGATTTATCTAGATCAGGTAAAGCCCAGAGGCAAAGCTTTCTAGATTTATCTAGATTAGATAAATCGTGGAGCTTTCCAGATTTCCAAAGCTGGCTTTGCTGGAATCTAAACTTACAAAGTTTGTAGTCTTTTTTCTTTAAAGATGTGCTGTGCCTTGACTAACTCAGCAAGCAGAATTCAAAGGAAGCTCTTAATCTTTATATATATATAAATAACTCCTATATCTATTATAGGAGCCATAATCACACCCAACTTCAGAGGAGTAGCGATACTGGTCTCTTCCATCAAAAACCAAGCCAGCATCACTTTGAAGGTAGGTAGATTTCATGGTCTAAAGCCATTCAGTCGAATACGTGAAGGATTTATTTTAATTGGCGGCTTCAGTATTAAAACCACACTTTATTTGATAAAATAATTGTTGTTCTTTTGAAAGCTGCTTTTACCAAATCAAACTTTCTACATGTGCACTCCAAAAAAACAGCAGCCTTTTTGGGGAGACATCTCTATCCATGCATCTGTCATAAACAAACTATCATAGGTAATTAATCCAATACATGATTTCTGAAAGCTACTCAGAAGCTATATTTGCAGATTTTTTTAAAAAAAATGTTGAAATGTGACTTAGCACTTCCACTAATAAGCTTTTTAAAGGTTACACTACATTATATTTATGCCCTGGTATTACAATCCAGTGATGGCAAGATTTTTTATTCACCAAGAACTTAACAGTAAGTTGAAGAACAGTTTTTTTGACAGCTCGAATTATATAATTGGATTTACACAAAAACAAATACTGTCCAATATTATGTGGTAACAACAACCTAATACACAAAACTTTTTTTTAAACTGGTAATCTTGGGAATTCCTTCTACAATAGACTAACAGCTAAATGGAAGCAACAAAATTCAAATTTTATTTTATTTTATTGGATTTCTAATTCTATTGGAATTATGGAGCCTTGGCAGCTGTCTCCAACCTGGACAGATGGGCCAATGGGAGTCCAGCATGTACAGATCACCAGGAAGGCAGAAAAGGATGATGGGAGTCGTAATTCAGCACATCACAGATATTTTAATATGCTACCTATAGATTACGAGATTCATAACTCTGTACAACAAAATGGAAGTATTTAGGGTAGGGTATGCAGAAGCAGCTAGGGATACTGGATGGGGATTGTAGTCCAACATATCCCAAAACCATGAACGGCAGGGATGGGAGATGTAGTCCAGCCTGTGTGAAAACAGCCAGGGATGCTGGATGGGAGTTGCAGTCCAGCCTATCTGAAACAGACAGGGAAGACAGATGGGGATGGGATTTGTGGTCCAGGCTGTCTGAAATCAAAGATGGGGATGGGAGTTGTAGTCCAGCCTGTCTGAAACCAGACAGGGGAGACAGATGGGGATGAGAATTGTAGTCCAGGCTGTCTAAAATCAAAGATGGGGATGCGAATTATAGTCCAGCTTGTCCAAAATCAGACAGAGAAGACAGATGGGGATGGGAGCTGTAGTCCAGCCTGTCTGAAATGAGACAGGGAAGACAGATGGGGATGGGAGTTGTAGTCCAGCCTGCCTGAAATCAGACAGATGGGGATGGGAGTTGTAGTCCAGCCTGCCTGAAATCAGACGGGGACGCTGGACAAAGATGGGGAACTATAGCCCCGCCCTCCTCGTAGAAGGCAGGGATAAGCCTTTCCTCGCCTGGACCCTGCTCTCCCGCGTCCTGCTTGGCAGAGGATCCCCGGCAGACACCCCCCCCCCACTTTCCACCCTCCCCAGAGAGCCACCAGGAGGGCGAGAGGACCGTCAGAAGGAGGAGAAGGAGAAGCACAACAACGAGAGCAACGATAGTCGGGCGGGGGGGTTGCTGTGCACCGACCTATCGATCATGATGGAGGCCTCGCCCATCCAGGGGATCAGGTGGCGGCCTTGCTCCTGCTGCAGCGCCTTCTCGTCGTCGCGGAACAGCTTGCAGGCGTAGCCGAAGACCAGCAGCTCCACGCGGCCACCGACCACCGCCCCGCCGCTGCCTCCACTGCCGCCTTCGCCGCCGCTCGGGCCGCCGGGCGAAGCCGCCGCTACCGCCGCCGCTGACGGGAGCGCTCCCG